CAACTTTTCTCTTTGCAGCCACAGATTTTTACGACTGAAAAAATAAATGTATTATTTTTATTTGTTATTGAAAAGCCATGAAACAACTTCGCGGCTCCTGTTCTTTTAAGAAGAGAAATAACGAGTTGGCACTTTTGACTGTAGAGGCTCAGAAGAAGTGCAGTGAATAGAGCCTGTGATGGAAGTCAGGTTAAATCTCCTCTGTAAGACAGTGTACTGTTCGGGCTTTACTTGCAAACAATGAAATAAGGGCCGACTGTTGACCTGCCTCGTCTTCTGAGACATATTTGTCTAACGGCACACATAGAGCGGCACTGGAATCGCCAGCTGAGGCAAATGCGTTAGGGTCAGAGCATTGTGGTAATCTTTCAGGGAATTAATGGAAATTATACTGTGTCCGTCGCCAGTATAGGTAATGTGTGTGTGGTGTGTGTGTGTGTGGTGTGTGGGGTGTTGTGTGTGTGTGGTGTGTGTGTGTGTGTGTGTGGTTTCTTGAATGACCGTCAAGAGAGGTTTCACCCCCCCCGCGGCCCCCCCCGTAGCGGCGGGTGTGTGGGAGAGAGTCTGATTTACCGAGAGATCAGCTCTGTTAAGAGAAGAGGCGTGCTGAAGCCAAATTCATGAAAGCAAACAGTTGTGAAGGCAGTCGAGGATAAAAAAAGTAGTAGCGTCCTTACAGCTTTTCAACTGTTAAAACGGCGTTGTATTAAAAACATTAATCTTAGTCATCACGACTGGAACACAAACAATAAATAAATGAATTATCCCGGGATCAGTGTCAGAAGTTAGAGCAGACTTATCAGCGCGGGGCTCTGTTCCTCCATTGTTACAGTCTGTGCAGTGTAGATAAAAAGCATCAAAGCAGTGTGTTGTCTGCGTGGGGGGTTTGTCTCCACGCCTCATGTAAAGGCTGATGTTTGGAGAATGCAGATATAGAGCTCACGATCATGCTGCTGCCAATTAAACTTGCGAGGGGGAGAACAGAGGAAGTTCAGAGGCGGCAGGGTTTTTGTCCGTGGGCGGAAGAGATCTCGTTCTTGATCTCGCTGATCTCCTTCTCCTGGTGGTGGCTCGCTACTTTGTGGAATATTAATCCCCCATTATATAACCTTCCATCTTTACACCCCACAATATGACAGTCTCTCTCTCTCTCTCTCTCTCTCTCTCTCTCTCTCTCTGCTTCTTCTGAGTCTACCTCAGCGGAATAATGATGCTGTGCAAACCAATGACAATGTCCCACTGTGGATACTGCAGAGAGAGGGGGGGGAAATGTTTTCCTTTAGAAAATGATTCTTCTTTTAAACCGCAAACGAGACAAATCCACACTGATTGAGACGAGCAATCCGCTCTTTGTAGTTTCACAGCTGTGTGTAGGCCACATGCCATCACAGTGTGATATTTTTTCATTAACAGCTAATCTGCAGATCATTTTCTCATTAATCGTTGGGTTATAAGATATATTTATATAGAACAATCTAAGCAGAAAAGAGGTTTAATCAGATTAAGAATCTTTATAACGGGAGCTTTGTGGATACATACCCAACACATCACACAAATGAATTTGGTAAAATATTCTTATTTGACTGTTATAATACAGCAATTGTGTCTCATCGTGTGCTCGGAAATAGGAATCAGAAATGAATTGTCTAAAAACAAAACACAAACACAGCAAAACAAATGATATACCTATGTCATTGAACTGAGCAATTTGGCATCCGGCCATATTGATAACAAACATTACTCAACGCTTGCTAAACTGCATGTTGTTGTCTCAGTCAGTACTTCCTTTGAATACATTTATGTATATACCATAACAAATGTCAGAGAAAAAGTACAATAAACAGTCCAAAAACCCTAAATAACAAATTTAAAATCACATTAAGACAGAACAGCAGCAAACCCTCCAGGTTGAGGAGCTAAATACAGTGTGCTTCAATCGTTAGCTATTTATATCAACTCTATGTTCCCATACAGTACTACACATATAGAAAAACAGATGGGTTGACATGTCTAACAGGCATGGACTACAGAAATGGAAATCCATACTCTAATATTGCTTCGCATCATGATTAGCAGCACACATATTCCAGCAATTACAAAATAATCAATTATTAAATCATGCATGTTTATTAAACCACCTTTCAGGACATGTGATGAATTCTTAATAAACAAAAGTGGTCAGAGGGCTGTTTTTTAAAAATAGTTTTGATGTCTGAACTTACTTGGCCACGTTACAGAGCCTTGTTCTGGTCGACCACCCACACAAGTGTTTTAATTGTTTGCATGAATTAGTGAATACTCCCTCTGAATATAAATGCATTTAAAGTTCACTTAATTGGCTACTGTGATTAGATGTGTTTTCTCCAACAGCACATTTGATTTCCCTTTCATAAGCAAAATACACAATCCCCAGTGTGGGTGTACTTACTTACCTTCCTATTTATTTCATTCATTGTTACAATGGCTGCCAATTTACTCCTTTATTTGCGTGTGAATAATGTGTGGTATGTGGGACCCATGCCCACATGTTATATTAACATATAAAACGGGGTTAATGAAACAACTAATTACAGACTTCCCTGGAAATCCAATAGACTCAGTAGACAATGTGAGGAGAACAGAGGGAACTAAATCTCCCCGTCTCTCAGGTAATTTGTTAAAATGGATGAAAGCTTTGAATACACGGCCACTTATAGTTTAACACTAACAAATGACAAAGACGACTTATCTCGGTCATACACGTGCTTCTAATCTTTGAACAGCAGCCATTTCACTGCCTTAAACTATAAAGCTATACTGTGCGTAGCTGTTCTCGTAGCAGTGCTGTGTTCTCTGTATTGTTTCAATTGTTTGATGAATAATGTGCTGCACTTCATCTGTGCCTCCCATATATTATCACTACTCGTCGTAGAGCTAAGCTTTTTTCTAAAAAATACATACGAATTGATATGTGAAAAATACATGTTATTTTAACCCAATGTTCCCTTACTGATCTTGGGTAAAAGTCTGCTAGGAGTCATAAGTTAGTGTCCTAACTGAAGACTTGCCTTGATGAAAGGACTGGGGGCGCTGTTTTGCTTATAGCATTTGCATATTTTTCAATTATAAGCAGGTTTAGTCTATAAGACTTTTTTTTATTATTGTTAGCACATCAATATAACATCAGTTTTAATTATTTATATTGCCTTTAGATTTTCTATGTATTCAAATGTTCTATTTTCATTTGCTCATATAAAGCCCATACTAGTAATAAAAATGCATTAAATGTTTTACCCAATTATAACGTATATGCGAAAAGGTATAATGCTATTTGTGAATTTTATTTTCGAGTTAACATACAATTGTCCCCTATTGGCTTCCATAAGAATCCTGAGTTGCTCCTCTAACCATCGTAATGATTTTAAAATACCTCAACAACAATTAGATGGGTTTTTGTGAAATGTTGTTCACACATGTAGAACTCCAAACTGCTTCTAATGCTGATGATGTTTTTAGTCTTTATATTTCATCTGTAATTTCCCCTTGTCATCTTTCTGCCCTTCCTCTCTCTCCCTCTAGACTCTTGTCAAGCTGAATCCCAAACTTCAGCCGATGGTTGACATGATCAAAGCTAACAGGGCCAATTGGGAGGAACTGAACAAGAAAAGACAGAGAAGCCAAAGTGTTTCTTCGCCCTCGAGCTCCTGCAGTGGAGACAGCACAGAGACGAGCGGCTGCACGGTGGCGCCCTGCTGCAGCGGAGATGCTGACGGCACACCATCTAAACCCGTTAGTTAGCTCCTGATGCCACCTCCAGCTGATCTCTTTGGCTTTTACTCCCTCTTAAATGCAGCCTGCAACATAGGCAGTGCAGTGCATGCAGAGGTTCTTGGGCTCTGCTCCTCTCCGCTTTTGCTGCTAGAGATGGGCTTTAGACTTGAGCGCGGCGCTATCATAGAGGTTTTTCTGCTCCCTTCAGCCTTCCTGAGCTGGAGGCTGACAGAGCTGTGTTTGGCGAGCTTGTTGAAGCAGCTACCAATCAGCTGATGACACCATGTCAGAAAAGGAAACCACTGTGTCAACATGTCAAGCAGTGAGCTAACACTAACTATTCTGTGCATTGCACAGATTTCCAAAGCATGGAGAATATTGGAGAGTTTGTCTCTGATGTGGTTCGTTTTATCTCAGTACCTCCTCGTTGCTCGCATTTTGCCCGGGGTAACAGAGATATTTTTTGTAGATCTGTATATAGGCTATTAAGTTATTTACAAGTGCTGTTTAAGAACATGTAACCTCTGGATTGTAATGTGGCTGTAGAGTTGCTGAAGGATAAAGGGGTGCAGGACCTGTGACAGTCCTTGCAATGCAAATTGAGTCTCCGCTCCCTCCCTCCCTGTGCCTTGTTTTAAGATCCTAATGAAAAATGCATGGCCTTCTCACCAAGATTGTTAGATATAGAAATCCATGTTGAACCATGACATGTTTTATGCCATAATTTATGAAAACCAATGACTGCAATTATGTTTTGATCCCATATTAGCCACAAATCATCAACAGTATATACATATAGAAATCTATTTTGCCCAGTTTTATAAATGCAGGGTCTCACTTGTCACACACACAAACACACACAATGTGCCTTGATGAAGTTGTACTGATATCAATTCATTTTTGCAGAAATCTCATCAACTGATTTAATACTGAAACTAGACACATTAAGATTTATTTTAATAAGGGTTCTACATTATAAGAAACACGCTTAGATAAGAGAATACCTATATGATAAATAAAGCTACATTCAGTCGCGGTAACCAGGCCATTAACAACTGGCCTGGCTCCGTCCAAAGGAAATTCAATTTGTCAACCAGTCAAATTTACTAATTCATTAATTCATTATTGTTTAATCTGAACAAAAAACTAAGCATACTGTTTTATAACAGGGTTGTGTGACAGACTCTTTGCCAGAACATGTAACTTTCTTCTGGTTGTTCAGCAAAAAGTTAGAATCTAGAACTGAGTCAGACACAAATTACAAATCACATTAAATAATCTTAATACAACATTTTGATTTGAGAGCTTCAGACGTGCTGCTAGGAGGATTTTTTTAAACCTCTGGACAAAGTCAGGCTGACTGTTACTTCCTCTTTCCAGTCTTTATTCTTCATGCTTAGCTTTTTTCAAAGTGGCATCCTCTTACCTAACTTTCCGCAAAATGCTTTTCCAAACATTTCAGAATTTGCTTTAATCGGATTGCTGTCCTTTTCACAAAGCCCACAAATGCTACTTAAACAGATTTTATGATTTCCAAAAAGGAGACTGAGACACTAAAACTGGTAGTAATGAAGTGCCCATGCAGACATGAGCTATTATTTTGATATTATTATTATTATCATTATTAATATTAGTATTATTTTAGGGTTGTGATTATGCCTTATGAATTGTGTTGTAGCTTTGTTAATTGGAGTTTAAAAACGTGACTGTGCACATTGTGTGGCATGGATCTATGTGCTCTACTTTATTTTGGTTAAAGTGCTGAATTGAAGTTGATCAGAAACATTTAAATTGCATGTTTTATGCAGTATTAAATTCAACCACTTGCTAAGTATGTAGCAAACGTGAGCCGACAAATACCTCGTCCTTTGAACTTCATCAGTAAACACATTATCTCTTTGGAAATGCATGATTTAAATTATATTGCATTATGTTACGTGAGTTATGAATATTGCTGTTCTATTTTTCTATAAGGTCTCCAAACTTTTATTTAGTCTAATTTGCAACGTACCGTGCTTCTTGTATTTCTTCTTTCCTCTCCCAGTTTGGACGCTCATTTTATTTATGGCGGGCTAGACTGAAAGAAATCTAGGGCATGAAAAGGCAAATGTGCAATGTTTATGTTCAGAGTTTAAATAAAAATATGCTGCTACATATACTCTGGTTTATTCTGACACTTTTACGCAAGTATTTTAGATATTTGTATTGTTCTTGAGTATTTCCACTTCATGCTACTGTACACTACTCCACCACAATTAAGAGATAATTATTGTTGGTTATTGATTTAAAATACAAAACATTTGATGATCATTTCAAACTGAGGAATGTTTGTTGTTCAAAATACCCAACAGTGTATATGACCTTTTAAAATGAGCTCTACCTTACCCACAACCAGGGACCAAGATAGAAGGCCTACTTACATATATATCTCATATAACTGTATAGTGTATTGCTTTAAATGTATTTGTGTAAAATAAACATTACAGTTTTACATTTAAATAAAGTAAATAATGAGATGAAATAATGATACCACTGTTAAACACAATTGGCCACAGAATAGACTGCATTGGGCCCAATTTCTACGTAGCCTACAGTCCAACAGTAAATCCAATTTCTTTAGACATACATTGCATAAAACAAATTACGTTTATTTAATGACGACAACTTAATGTGGCCTTACTAAAATGAACCACAGAAGAGTCAAACTCAAAACACAAATGGCTGACAATACATAAAACGTCTATTGACACCATTGCAGGTGCATCAATCATTTCTAGGCCACATTGATGAAGAACATCACCAAAGCGGACATAACATGCCAAATAACCTGTACAGTACAATTGCTGCAGCCACAAACACCCTCATTAAAACAAAAGAGAGATGCACACACACACAACTGCTGTTACAAAACTATGCATTTTGCTGTCATCTGTATAGGAAGGTATACATCGATAGGTCAGTCAGTGTGTTGTTGTACTCACGTGTCTGGACCATAGACTGTTAGCATTGTGCACCAAGAAGTCCTCTCCAATCTGCTCCAGGTTAAACTTCTTTGCTTGTTTATCATCAAGTGTAAGTGTAATAAAAACAGTGCAAGTCAGCCTCTCTGTCCCACTGTGGACCTGAAAGTTATCAAACATGTTGAGCTGATTCAGGTTCTGCAGTATTAAACAGCAGAAAAGTCCTCACAACCCTGAAGCTTAAAGTTCCTCCATTAAGCTCCACCATTAGCATGATAGCATGTTAGCTTCTTTGCTTTTTACAATCTTTATTGAAACAACATTTCATTTACAAAAACAAAATTTACCATACTTAATTTAAACGAATGTATGGCTATGTTCAGCCTAATTTCAATATTACTAATTGATATTAGACTAGGCTACCATATTCCAGGTATGTAGCATGTTAGCTAAAGGATGTCCTGTTAATGACACAGATTCCTGGGTCTGTTAGATTTAGGTCACTCGTGCCTTCTGGGTGGTGCATTAAATCAGTGATTAATTAAGGTAGATTTAACTTTCTCAACCTATGCCAAGCTAACAATAACATACCCCACAAGGACGTGATCTTTAATTCGATTGCATTGTTGTGAATTTATGTAGGTAGTGTTCACTAACCACCAACCCGGTCTGACTGCACCTCTCTGCTCACATTTTTTAATATTTTATAACATGTAGTGGAGCCTCCTGCAGACAGCTTTTTTTGTAAAAAAAATATATTATTTTGTTAGTTTTTATTTTTTTATAAAACATTATTTTGCTTCAGTGTCATTTTGAATGCTTGACTTCACTTAAAATGTACTATTTATATAATCAAGTGTTGCTATTTTCACTCTTTTTACTTTATTTTTTCTCCAACATTGATTTTGCTGCTCAGTACCAACAGTTATTTTCCTCCATGATTTTCCCCAGTGCAGTGCTGACCTCATGTGGACAAATGTAACTTTACACATGAAATGTATCAATCAAATACTGCAGGTATGCGCACATTTAATTGAAAAAAATAGTGAATGATGTGGCCATGTTAGAAAGTTAAAGAAAATTATGAAAAATTGCTTATAAATATACATTTGGAAACCATATTTATCAAGTCTTTACATTTCCACTGATGATTTTAACTGCTGTATTCCTCCACACACTCCTCTGTATGGAGCCACAGAAAGTGATAACTGCAGTGCATTTCATCGTCCAAGGCTGAGCTCTATAGCTGTTGATAGGTGGCGCTGACGTCAGCAGGCAGTGTGTGGGCGGCTGTGTGGGTGAAGATGACTCCCAAATGAGCCTGTGTGTTGAAAAAAATCCTCCAGTCAGAAAGCAAAAGACAGGCAGTGTTAACTCTTCTGAGCTGGATTACCTTGAGCTCGCAGGTAGAGGAAACAAAAACCTGCTCTCAGGTTCCTGTTGACCGTCTGACAACATAAATAAAGCTGCTATTGAAGAGTCGTATTAGAAATGATTCATGAGAGGTGCAGAGTTCTGCTCTATGAACAGGGTTGTACATATGTGAAAGAAAAAAATGCAACAAATGGGATGTTTTAGTTCAATTTATTGCACGAACAGCATAGACAAAATGTACTCGGTTGTTATGACGTTGTTAGGAGGAAGTGGAAAATAACAAAAAGGTACATCCATAATGTTAAAAAGCTCACTTTTTTTGACACAGGTAAAACGTCACATGACAGGTCCCAGGTCCCTAATGAGTCCTTTTATCTTGGGAAATATTATGGATTAAAAAGGACGATGGTTCAGGAGAATGCAAATCATAGATCAGAAAGGGGAAAAGGCGAGATTTCTCAGCAAACAGCTTTCTTACAGCTTTACGTTGCTTCCAAATCATTGGTTTACAATTACAAATGGTACAAGTCTCGTATCAAATTGTAGCACATTACAGTATCCATCCCAAAACCCTTACACAGTACAGTAACAAGGGAAAATATGAGTTTCTGGGCCATTCTATGGAACAGATATGATTCAATACAGTGTCTTAAACATAAGAAATATGATGTAGAAAGTTGTAGCACATATAACACAAATATCTACATATTACTTCTTTCAGAAGGGTTATCTTTGCATATGTTGATTAAAAAATATAGCTCAGCTGGGCATGAAGTTATTTAAAGTGTGTGGTAACATAGTCAAACATATGTTTACATGATCTGATCTGTTGAGTCTTTGGTACGACGTGAGCACCGGGATCCAGAGTCCTTAAACTGCAAACGGGGTCACATTGAAGTAGGTGTGATGGAAAAATGCAATGGCTTTTCCCCCCCCCACTTCACTGTCTCAGTAACAAACCATGTTAAAGGTAAACGCTCTCAGTACAAAAAACTAAACACACAAGGATTATCTCTCTTTGTAATCTTACTGTACTTCTAGAAAGGGGGGCTCTTGTTAAAATTAGGAGGCAGAGGCACACACTTACAGAAAATGTCTCTTATGGCAATAGGTCAGTACAACAGAAGGCATGAGGGCAAGACACGGAAAACATCATGTCCGAGTTCATTCTGCTTCACAAAGCGACTCAGTAGAGTGTTTCGTGAGACAAGGGGAAGGCAGACAAAAGCTTTAGAAAGGCAAAGAGCTTTAGAAAGTGCATTCACTTAGAACTTACTAAAGAAGTGCCAAACACACACCCAAAAGTAAAAACAAACAGAAAAATTAACCATGTTGCCAAGAATATTTAGGAAATGCGTAAGAAAATATGACAAAAAATAAAGGTTTTGTTGCATCATGGCTGTAGCTCCAACAACAAGTTGAGGCAGTGATTAAACAGCAAGATGATCTTCACCGTGAGTGAGGATGATTGCTACAGCATATTTAGTGCAATATAACATAAAATAAAAGGTTTTGGTGAATCAATAAATGGCACTGATTGACACTTGATGAAAAATGTCTGTGCATTTTTAGTTCACATTTAGTAACAATTAATCCAAGATGCACAAGATGCTTTTTTAGAAAAAGGTAAGATAAAGTCGAGCGGGGAATTTAGAGAAGGTTTCTGTTTCCGAAGATGTTCTTGGGGTCCACGTAGTCCTTGACAGACTGGAGCATCCCCATGCCGACATTGGAGACGGTCTCTCTCATCCATTCCTTCCGAAGTTTTCCCACTGAATGACAGAGGAGAGAAAATAAATAAATAAACAAACAAACTGAAGGAAGAGGACCGAGGGGGAGGAATAGAGGAATCGGCACGGCTGATTGCTCAGCGGGCTGCTGGGAGCCAATCAATCTTGTGAGAGTGAGTGAATAAACAGAGGGTGATAAATGCTTTTATTCAGAGAGGAGAAATGTTTTGCATGGCATGATTTATGGAGCTCAGCAGACTATCAAACTCATTAGGCTCTGTGTGTTCCCAGAGGAGGGGCCGGCTGGCGGCTGTAGCAGGCCGTCCCCGGCTCCCTCGCTCTTTGAGCCACCGCTCCCCCCCTCCCTCCAGAGTTGCTGGAGCGTTTCTCTGTTTCTCTGTGTGTTTCTGTCTCATTGTGCACACGAGCACGCTCCTCTTGCTGACCCGCGAGGCGTGTTGTGCTCTCTTGTCCTGAACGCCGCTCGGCGCCCTCTGACACCGGCCCGATCACCAACAGGGGGCCAGAGCCACCCACACAATGGCCCTCTGTCAGCAGGACTCTGGCTTTCAGCCGCTCCACACCCTCCCTCCTCCAAAACCCCCAACCTGAGGAGCGAGGGAGGCGGTGGCACCAGGCCTAGTGAGGGTGCCCATTGCTTCTCCAGCTGTCCACTCCGACATCCTCCACGGCGCCCGTGCTCTCAGCGGAGAGTCTGGAGCCAGCGAGAGGTCTGGTGGCTGCGGAGGACTGGGCAAACCTCACTGGAGAGCCAAACTATTGTTAGAAAACTTCAAATAAAATAGAAACTTTGATTTTCAGCAATTCATTAGCCAAAATCTGTCAATTGAAATAGATGTTGAGCTTTCTGCAGATGGGGAGGGTTTGAACATTTGTGAGTTTTTCTTTTTTATATATATTTGAGAAAGAGAAAGAAATGCTGTTCTGTGGCATCAGAGCCTCAGACTCACTCAGTGTCATTTTGGCTTTGGGCTTTTTATTTTTGCAAATATGTTTATGTTATGTTGAACCACTAAGGTACAATTTACTCACTTACTAAATGGGCCCTGCA